TTGAACGAAATTAACATTTGCATATTCAACTATACAATTGTAAATATAAATTGGTAGTTAAATTCTTGTAAGTGGCTAAGTTCCCAATTGGTTTGAACTATGCTCTGTGAATTCGGCCCTAAAATTTTTATTATATGCTTGAAACATGAGAAATGACTGTCGTAATACAATTTCTAACTCGAATAAGACCAATAAATAAAAAATATATACATACATACTTATTTGGTGAAAATTAATAGCCGAGAATGTGTAATCTTTATTACTTACCTTTTTCAAATGCCACTGTATCCCAGAACGCGTGTTTAGCGGTATCATTGCGGTCATCATAATCTGCAATGCGTAAACTTTCGGAAGCATTAATCAGACCACTCGTAGTTTCAAAGCGTAGACCAGCCTATAAATATAAAAAGATCTTCATGTATATATGGACATACGTACTAGTAATTATCTAACACTATAATTCACTATTATGTATACATATCAGTTCGTAATACCAACATATTTAAAAGCTTAAACAGACGGCAGCGTTTATCCGGACTAACTCGGACTTAATCCGGATCAACTGCAGTTAATTCCCGAGTTGATCCGGATCAACGCTGCCGTCTGTTTACGCTTTAAGAGTGTATTAGGTGCCTTCCATCGCTGGTAAGGGACATATCGTAAGATTTTTTTTTTTAAAGTAAAGACAGAGTAAAAAGTTGTACAACAAAGTATCTTCTTGTATTAGATTACGTTTTATTGGGGAGATACTGACCAAAAAAGTTAATTGTAAAAACCAATATTTTTAAAGCAAACTTTCTAATATGAACGAAATCGGATCATAAATACTGGTTTCCCAAGAAATCGACTCGTGCGCCACCTATCGGCAAAAGTTTTAGTGAAGTTATTCCCCTTCATGTAGTTAATATACTTTCTAAATATGAGACAAATCGAACTATAAATACGGGTTTTTCAAATATCGCGACTCCGGCGTCACCTATCGGAATAACTCATATTTTATATTGCATTGTCATCCGATTCTGAGTCAACTGTGAAGTCTCAAGTCTCTAGGTCATCGGGAAGTTGGTCAAAAATTTATTGTAAGATTTGCCCCTAAAAAAACATCATACATAAAAAATTGCAATTTTTCCGCGGGATTACAAAATTTATTATATTTTAAGACGGCCACCAAAATATTTCGGGAAAATATTAAGCGTGAGCTGCACCGATTTGAAAATATGTCCAAAAAATGAAGTTTTTTATGAATAAGAATAGTTTCTTAAAGAACTTTTTGAAAAAGTCCCCTCAGATGACAAAACAGATTAGGATTAAAAAATCTGCATAAAAATATTTAAAAATCTTTTCAACGGAATCGTAATAATGGGATTATTGATTCTGTTTTTTTTACTTTTTTCAAAGATTGATTTACGAAAAATTTGAATAACTGGGCCAAAACTATTCTGATTTAGACTTATGGGATCTCAGTAGAAAAGTATTTTCAAACTATTTTTTCCTTCTGTGCAAAAAACCTTATTCTTTTCCCTTTTTCTTCAAATTCCAACACATCTTAATTCAACTTTGAATAAGGTTGGTTCATCCTACCTTTCTCTTTTATTCTTTGAATGAGTTTATTAGCAAAGAAATAAAAAGGGTGAAAAAATACCTTTCCAATGATACCTCGCAAGTCTAAATCGGAAGAGTTTAGGTTCAGTTATTCAAGTTTTTCGTATACCAATCTTTGAAAAAAGTTAAATAACAGCATCAAAAATTTAACGATTACGATTCCGTTCAAAATTATTTTAAAATTAAAAAAAAAATGTTTATGCAAATTTTTGAAGCTTAAACTATTTTGTCATTTGAGGGGATTTTTTCAAAAAATCTTTAAGAAACTATTTTCATTCATAAAAAACTCTTAATATTTTTCCGAAATGTTTCGGTGGACATCTTAAAATATAATAGATTTTATAGTTCCAATGAAAACACAATAGCGATTTTTTTTTTGTATGGAGAGTGAGGCAGTCTAATGTACGTACATACATACAGAACAAGTCAAATAAAAGCTTGTAAAAACAGAAACTTGTTTTCTGAAATATTTGCGTTGTCCGAAAAATCCAAAATAAATTGCCTGTGTGTACGGAAGGTGAATCTTAGTTACAGTGTGTTATGTAAAATTTCTGCAAACTTAATGATAATTATGAAAAAAGCTTGTAAAAAATAACGTTTACGAACATCAATATTAGTTAAAACAACAAAAGTTACAAACACATTTATTTCACAAAAGTTTAAAGAATTATAATGAAATTGTTTTACGGGACTAAATAGTACGAAACATCTGTTTCATAAATTTAGAATTTGACCGCTTTACGCCCATTCACTGATATTTCATGAAAGTCAAATATGTACTCTGGGTATGGGCTTCGTTGATGTCCAGAGATGAAAATGATTGATGAAGCTATTTTGTTATAAAAAAGTTTGTCATTAGGTTAAATTAACCCAGCCAGCAAAAAATCCGAAAACCGATCCGAAAAAGGAAAAAAAGTTCACAGATACTCTTTCATGGTTCAAAAACAAAAAATAAAACATTAGTAAGCGCCTGACGGAATTCAAACCCGGCACCTTCTGGAAGCTAACAAATAGCGTCACGCTCCTCTGCACGCTCAGCCACTGCAACTACGTAAGCATGCTTTCGAATGTTTAGCTTGAACAACTAAAACCAATTTTTGCTTTCAAATAACATCATCTTTTTCGAACGTTTCAAACGTTTTCCGGATGCGGAAATGCTAGATAACTGTAGTTACACTTAGAAAAAAGAATTAGGTAAATATATTTCTCTCAACACATGATTTGGTTGTAGTCACATTATTTGGTTGTAGTTACCAAATCATATGTTAAGAGAAATATTTTTAGTTGACCTTTTTCTGTGTGTACGGAAAATTGTACTAGACTGCACTGTCGTCAAAATTTGCGTTTCATTGCTGGCTGGGAATTGAAAGACCAAAGTTATATGCTAACTTATGTACCTACATATGTACATATTTAAAAAACATTTCCGCTGAAACACGCTAAATGATTTTGTTGTTGTTGTTGTTGTTGTTGTAAAGTAAAATCTAGTGAAAATTCAATTTTGTCAAGAATGATAGAATACAAGAATGCTTATTCTGGCAGCGATGACGTATGGTAAGTATTTGAAAATAAACAAGAATGGAGGAAAAAGGAATCTGAAAAACTGTGCATTTTCGTAACTTTCAATTATTCGATAAGTTAAGGGGTTTAATTTTCTTAATGTGTAAAAATATATGAATTTTAGGAAAAATAATTAAAAACAAATATTAAAAATCGGTTCATTCAGTGAAAATATTACTTCAGTGATTTCCGGGGAAATAAGGTTGGTACGGAAGCACTTCCTATCGTAAATCGTTCAAAACGTCCTTCGTTTTTTCTTGAGGTGTGTGGTCCTGCATTGTCCTGTCGCAATAACGGACACTTATGCAATTTTCGAGACCGCCTGTTGCAGTGGTCCATTGAATAATTTCTTATGTTTTCACACCTTGTTTTCACAAAAAGAAAATGATTGTGATTGAGATTTTGCTGCGTCCTTCGTGGTTACAAAAACAGTGCTATGAAATCGCGTCTATATTAGTCGAACACCTAAATCAGACTGAACAATATTGCACTAGGTAGTTGCATAAACATATCAAGACTTGTCTGGCACTAATAACATTGCCTATAAGTTCTGCGTAATTCCCAGAACTTTGGAAACATTCCTCGTACATATAGATATGTATATCGTCACCTGGATAAATTAATATCGAATGTTACATTTGACAACTGTTGGGACATCGCAATTGAAGTTAGGAACTAAATTTTTAAAGACCGCAACGATAGATTTTCTCCGCAACGATAGATTTTTTGTTGTCGTTTATTGTAATAATATTGGCAACAATTTTGTAGGAATGTTGTATGGCATGCGACAAAGTGTGATAACTTTTTTTACAAAATTAACGATACACTTTTATTCAATATCTTGGAAACTTCAGGAGATACATATCTAAAACATATAACATAATTTGCAAGTTCTTGATTAGTTTAGTATAACTGCATTATTAACTAATTTTGGCCCAATTTTCACATACGACATTCATTTATCTGGGCGACGATGTAATCATTTTGCCATAGTTTACCTTCGACGTGGATACTACAACGAATTCGCTCTCATTATTTGGTGTTGGATCATCCAAGTAGTCACAATAGGTGGCATTGCAAATGCAAACAAAACCTTTTTTGTACATTCGCAGTTGGCATGGCGTATTTTCTTGCGTTGAGATCACTGAAATGATAAAATTTAAATTCTATCAGCAAATTAAGTAGATAATTGTTTTAACACCGATAGTCCTCTGCAATAACGGCACAACTCACGATTCAAAAAAATACCTTACTACTTTTAAGTGTCGCATATCTCTAATCCTTGCTACTTACTTTAGTAAGGATTAGACATGGATTATACAACAATTGGAAACATGAGACATTTAACAGTAATAAGGGATCGTTTTTTTGTGCCGTTATTTATGCTTAAATATCACAGCGAACGGCAGTGCGTGCGAGTGATGAAAGCAGCCACAGTAGCATGCTGAAATGACTCGCTTATATATACACGAGATTTGGAAGTTTTTATCCAGACGTCCAATCGACATGTTTGCGGTATCGTTGGAAAGGTCTTGCAGAGTGTTTCCTGAAAATATATTCAAGCTTCGTAAACGATTAACCGGATTCTTAAAAATTAGGCTAAAGTGTTGCGAAACAAACAACGTTTTTTTGCTTTTGCCGGTTTAAGGGGGCATGTGGGCACACCCAACATATTTAGTGTTATTCTATAGGCCAATACCTTTCAACCGATACCTTATATACTAAGTTCCGGCTACAAGTTGGAAGGAAAGATATAGAGGTAAATGTGTTTTGGTTCGTGTCTCCACTACAAGATGCTTTGGTATGTATGTGGCGACTTTCAGGAATTAAAGTACAAAAAAAACTAAGAAGGTTTTGTTCCAGGATGTTTTTGATTCGTACGCCTTTGTGGGCGTGGCTGTTGCCTGAAATTCGAAAAAATGCAATTTTTTAAACTACAACTGAGGCCGCACTAGTCAGTCCATGTCATGTGGATATCAGTAGAAGGGTCTTCAAAGAAGCTATCTAATGCTATCTTTTGTGTTTATAAAATATAAATATGTCATAACGTTACCGCCTGAACACTAAAAATCGGGCTGCTGAAAATATACATTTCGCGTATTTTCTCAAAAACTGGTCAGTCGATTTTATTCTAAGTTTCCACAAATNGAAGCTATCTAATGCTATCTTTTGTGTTTATAAAATATAAATATGTCATAACGTTACCGCCTGAACACTAAAAATCGGGCTGCTGAAAATATACATTTCGCGTATTTTCTCAAAAACTGGTCAGTCGATTTTATTCTAAGTTTCCACAAATCTAGCCCAAAATCTTAGCTTTCATCTGGCATACAGCTTATATCTGGGAAAGCTCTTGTTGTGGCGCTCCAAAAAGGGTCAAATGGTTAAAAATTAACATATCCGTCTAATTTGGTTACTTTAAGATATAAAAATAACATACCCAGTTCCCCGAAAAAAATTGCCCATTCCCCGATTGCCACTTAAACCGAAATTCCCTGCAAACCGGGAAATTTCCCGCTAGTTGACAAGTTGAAGGATGCAGCTGTGCTAATCAATTCGTATATGTCTTGGATACCACAATTTGTGTGTATTTTTGAGTTTTTTTCAGTCACATGCCGAAATTGTAACATTCTTCCCCATTTTAATTGCAGGTATGTACACAGTATTTAACTATGCTACATGGGTTTATCACCCGCACTTAACCTACCTGGTATTTACCTATAGTTGTACATAAATATGTATGTATGAATGCATTTAGTTCACCCAATGTGCCACTACTACTTACATATGTATAAATTGCCACTGAGCAAACTACTGAGAAAAAAGCATTAGTTTAATAGCACGAGTGCAACACCGTACACGTGATAGAAGTAAAACTTCTTAAAAAAAGCACATGCGTACACACCCGGTAGAAATCTTAACGAAAATTTAACTACGAGGCAATCAGACGAATACAGTTGTTAATTTTATCCAAAGTTGGGACCAAGTTGATAAGTTTTTATCGTTTCTCATAATTCTTTTTATTTTTAATTTTTTCGAAAACAAAGGATGTGATCATTATTTTTCGCTTTATTCCGTATTCGAAAAATTATATGTTTCAATGGACAAATCGATTTGAATACAAACTTTAGATTTAGATAATATTTTTAGCAATTTATTTGAGGAAAATAAAACATTTAGATTATTGTTTGTATTTTCATCGATTTTAAATTTGCTACCCCAAAATAATTGATATCAAATAAAACACGTCTTTGAGGTAAAAGTTTCGAGTGACGAAAGCTGAACTGAACACAAAAACAACACAAAATTTAGGATATCAATTTCGCGACGAAAATTATACGCATTTTTTTACTGCCTTTCAAACGTACGGAAAATCGTTTTTTATTTATTCGTTGCGAAATTCCGTGTACTGCTAGAAACACAAAATAAAAAACAGAAGTTTTGCAACGATTCGTATGAATAAAAAAGATTTTCCCTACGTTTCCAAGGCAGTTAAAAAATGCGTATAATTTTCGTTCGCGGTTGATACGATATATCCTTACAAATCATATCCATGCGTATGTAGGGTTTACCACTTTGTGCCTTCGGTATGCTTAAGGTTTTTGGATTCTCGTACATACTGATTTCAAGCCAATTTCTCGAATATAAGATACTGTCTTTTCAAACAGGTGGCAACCCTTTTCAAAATATATTCGAATTACAGCTTTTTTAAGCCTCTTGACATCCATTTTTTATTCCCGAGCGCACTTGTGCACAAGGGTATATCAATTTTGTTCACATAACGGTTGTTTGTAACGAATCGAGATAGATATAGACAAATGTATACATAAATGCTCAGAATGAATAGAGAAGTCGATTAAGCCATGTCTGTCTGTCCGTCCGTCTGTCCGTATGTCCGTCTGTCCGTCCGCCCGTGTACACGATAACTCGAGCAAAAATCGAGATATTATTGATATTTACAATAATTTTCAGACGAAAAATAAGAATATTATAAATTTTTAGAAAATGGGTGTTGCCACGCCCACTTATGGTTACATGTGCATATCTTGGTAACCGCTGCACCAATGTCTTCCAAACTTGGCAGAGTTGTTGGCCTTGGTACAGCATACTAAATGGCCGAAAATTTAAAAAATCGGACAATAACCACGCCCACATCCCATATAACGGTAATTTAGAGAAATACAAAATCTTCGATAAATCAGTAAATATCAAAGCTAATTTATTCAAAATTGATGCTTGCAACAATTCTTTACTAAGAAATACGTTTATGGTAAAATTTTGGAAAATGGGCGTGGCACCGCCCACTTGTCATCACATATATGTATATCGGTAACCGTTCTACCAATTTGTACCAAACTCGGTATTTTTATTGTGCTTGCCACATAAAAGCAAAACGTTGAAAATTATTGAAATCGGACTAAAATTACGGCCGCTTTTCATATAACGGTAAATTTCAGAAATGTTTGAAACTGCAATATTTCGAAATTTAAGGACGCTAATTTACTTAAAATTTATACACCCCGGCTTATCGTGTAGCGGTAGCCTTCGGAAAGGTGGAATACATATATTTAATACTTTCGCCGGGTATTTAATGTTCGGCTGCGCCCGAACTTACACCCCTATGCTGTAATCCGTCGTAGATTCGATTTTGCTACGAATCGTAAAATTGGTATGCTGAAATCCGCGTTGTCGTATCGTAATTTCGAAATTCGTAGGCAATCTTCGAAATTCGTAATGTTGGTATGCCTGAATCCGACGTAGCTGTCATTTTTATGTATTTGTCGGAAATTTTGTACGAATAGCAACTCGTGTCGGAGCGAAACAAATTGTTTTAAAATATCAGTCAAATAAAGTGTGTAAACGCAAAAATATGTAAAAATGAATATGAAAAAAAAATTTATTATTAAATGTTTACAAAATTAACAGATCGAAGATCACAACAAATCGCTCGCAAGACGAAAAACTGGTGGAATACATAAGCGAAAAGCCGGACATTGGTCGAGGCTTTGTAAAAGGAGCTAAAGAGGATGTGGTGGAATTTCGGGAAAGCGTTCTAAGAATTAAAGCGGCACAATATCTAGTGAAATGGAGGCCCTTAAAAGGAGGGAGCTTATATTTTATCATTTAAGCTAAATAGATCAGAACAATCTCTTAGCAATCTCCTTTGTATATTAATGCAACTGTAAGCTGTTCTTCCTCCTGGGATAAAAGTGCGCCGGCCACTGAATCCTTTGTATTCTACTTAATTAAGGAAAAGTAATTTCAAATATTCATTAAACTATTTTTTTTTCACTATTCACTGGCGATTATGTATATTTATTTTGATTTGTTTCTGCCAAAGCAGCTGAGTAAGATCTTCGAATTTCACTATTTTAGTTGGCAACGCCGTTGATAGTTACGATCGGATTACAGCATACAAATATTCGAATTTTCGGAACGGAGCTACGAATTCGTAACTACGAACTTACGGATTACAGCATACGGGTGTTAGATTTTCTTACTTGTTAATATAATTTTCAAACAAATAACTCCCTAAATTACAGTTGTGTTTGATTTTTTTAAAAGTCGGCGGCTCTCATCCATGGGTAGAGAATGGTTTAATATATCTCCATACCAAGTTCCAGTAATCTACAAAAATATTTCCTGAGAAATGCAGTATGAAATATTCCGTTTGTATGGGAAGTGCCACGCCCCCTTAACTAATCGAGATTAAATTTATCCTATATTTTAAGTTGGGCTAAATGACAGCAGTGTACAAAATTTCATGATGATCGGTTGAGTAGTTAAAGCGTGAAAGCGTAGCAAACAAACAAATTCACTTTCGGAGTTATAATATTAGTAAGGATACAAAAATTAAAGATACATATTTTACATACCCACAAAACCTGCTATTATACAAATCGTAACGAAGCACTTTATACAGTTTAAATGTTTTTCCATTGTGTTACCAGCTATGCTTACTGCAATATCATACTTCTACGCCACTTGTACTTCTACTAACCAGGTAAATAAGTCTTAAGCAGTTTTTACTGTTATAACGTCTAGTATTATCGGAAATTGAAATCAATAACACTCAGAAAGTTTGTTAGTGAATCATGAGAATTTTGGTTTTTTATTCGTTTATAACTTTGAGAACAGGTGCGCGAAAAGTATGTGGTTCATTGTTAATCTTAATCTAGCAGAGATAACGTTTATATGTGTATTTTAATCTACCCACTCAGTTTAAAGATCTTTTTTTTTTGGTGGCGGATTTTTGCCTCATTCCATATAAGCAAGAATTTCTTATGAACTAAAATGCGGGAGACCGTTAGCAACTATATTTAAAAAAATTAACGCAAGTTTTTGTAAATTGCATCATGGTAGATGTTACATATTTATTATGTGTGAAATATTAGAAAATATAATATCAAAATCGTATACCTGGTACTGTGATCAAGAAAGAATGAATAAATGAAAAATTATGAGGTATTTATTCTTCATTCGAAAGTGCTTAAAGGAAGAATACAAATTTATTCGTTATTTGAAATTACTTGAATGATGAATAAAAATTTATTCATGTGTTCATCATTCGAAAGTACTTGAATGAAGAATTAAAATTTATTCGTTATTTGAAATTACTTGGATGATGAATACAAATTTATTCATCGTTCAAAATTAGAAAAATTATGAATAAAATTTTATTTTTTATTTTAATAATAATTCATTCAAAAACGCCCATCCCTGCTGGCATGACCTCGAGTGTTCTGGCAGCGGGATTTTTATACCCGAGCGCAATTGTGCACAAGGGTATTATAACTTTGTTGTAATTATTATTTTTTTATTGATTTTTCTTTTGATTTTTAGACTTTCTCGTTTTCATTTTTATATAATTTTTACAAACTTATTTTATGTATATTTTTCCTTTTTATACCCAAGCGCACTTGTTCACAGGGCTATTAAAACTTTGTTCACCTAGCGGTTGTTTGTAACAGCCAAAACGAATTGAGATAGATATAGACAAATGTATACATAAATTATCAGAATGTTAACAAAAATCGATTAAGCGGTGACTGTCTGTCCGTCAGTCCGTCTGTGCACGCGATAACTAGAGTAAAAATTGTGATATGTTAACGAAACTTGGTATGTGTATTGAAAATGGGCAAAATCGTACGCCTACCTCCCATATAACGCACATTTCAGATATACGAAAACTGCGATATTCTAATAACTATGAAGATTATTCACTCAAAATTGTCAACAACAAATTCGTCAATAAAGTTAGCTAGCACGGATAGACTATAGCGAGTTTGGTTGAACCTCATTAAGTTCTTTCGCTTCGCCACTCGCTAACTGTATGCAGCTCTCAAGAAAACGGTCAAGAAAAAATTGCCATTGTATCGTGTGTGTGTGTGTGTCCAAGGAATTTTGGCATTTTTGATACTTCACAGCCTATTGCTTAACTCTTTCCTCAAGAAATAATGGAACGGGCATATATTTCTATTGCAAACCTGGATTGCCTTGTGCTCTTTTTTCATAAAAAAAACTTTAGAAAACCGTAGTACAAGGCGTAGCAAATTTCTTAAGAGCTGCGTACTGCCTCAAGAAAATTTTATGCAAGAAAAATTCTTAGCCATTTCTTGTACGTCATTTTATATGGACTTTTTGCTTTTCTTGAGAGCTGCATACAGGCCTTAAGGCGTGGAATTAAACGTGTTAGATGACTTCCTATGGTGCTACGGCGCGTATACGTTACATACGCAACTATGAGTATATGAGCATGAGTGGCAATTTTTTTACAACGCTTTTATCAACTTGCAATGTTGTGTGTCCAGAAACTTTCAATGTTGTGGATCCAGAAACTTTCAATGTTGCGTGTCCGACACCATAAAGCTTTGCTTTGAAAAGTTCCTATAAAAAAGCATAGTGCATAGGGCGACATCTGTAGTGAATAGGGCGAGGTAGATGACATCTCGATGTCCCCTATGTACTACGTTTGCTACAGCGGAAAT